GCTGCTTCCAAACGGGTTGAATAAGTGAGTTAACCACTGCTCCTGGACGTGAGCAGGAGAAATGAACGGGAAACATGAACGGGGCAGAGAGCCTGCAGACCGCAGGCCACAGGCGGGAATCTTCTCACACATGCCCAGAGAGAAAGGATGGACTCCCTGCATTAGGAGTCCTGGCTCTGGATTCTGCACAAAAGAGGAAATACCGCCCGGAAACCTTGCTCCAAAGACCCGTGGTCCCTCCCAGGGCCACCCCGGAGAGAGGGTTCCTGGCAGGATGTGTCTCAAATGGCCACAGCCCAGGACGGGGCCTGGGCAGAGTGCAGCCGCTGGCACTGCGCCCAGCCTGTCTGAATCACCTGGACATGCAGCAGTGAACTTCCCGACCCGGCAACTGGCAGCAGAATTTTACTGGGAAAACCCAAGACATCGCATTGTACCTTTCCCGTAAATCCCCTCTGTGGCGTGGGAAGCAGCAGCAGGCATTTCGTGCTGTTTGGTTTTCATGCTGTTTTTGTCCACTGCAGTGAGAAGAGACCCTGGAGTCCTGGCTTCTGTTTCTGCCTGTCTGAGAGTGGGAGAAGATGGCACTGGGTGCTGGCAGGCGGTGCCAGTGGGGCCCCCGAGGGGCTGCCTCTCTGAATCTGGGCATCCCTGGGGGATTCCAGGCCTGGGCTATGTGGGTGTGAAGGAAATGCTCCTAAATAATATTGGGAGAAGTGCTGGACCACAGCAGAGCAGGCTCTCTGGGGCTTCACAGACCCTGCCGCAAAGGCTCATTTTGCTGTTGGTTGACACTGAGCCCTGAAGGTCATCTGGTGCCAGGAGGCGCCTTGAGCCGGACACAGCCTTTCAGCCGCTCTGTTTTCTCTCACTCTATTCTTCTACTTAGAAAAAGAAAATCCAGGGGCTGGTGCTGTGACACCGTGGGTTAAGTGTCTGCCTGCAGCGCCAGCAAACCAGTTGGGCATCGGTTCCAGCCCCAGCTGCTCTGCTTCTGATCCAGCTCCTTGCTAATGTGCGTGGGAAAGCAGCAGAAGTGCCTGGGCCCCTGTGCCTACGTGGGAGACCTGGAGGAAGCTCCTGGCTTCTAGCTTTGGCCTGGCTCAGTTCCAGCCACTTGGGGAGTGAGCCAGTGGATGGAAGATTTCTCTTTCTCTCTCTCTCTCTCTCTGCCTTTCCTTCTCTCTATAACTCTGCCTTTCAAATAAGTAAATAACTTTTTTAAAGAAGAAAGAAAATTGAACATCTCCCTACCCTTCCACTCCACTTTCAGTACTTTTTTTAAAAAAGATTTATTTATTTATTTGAAAGGCAGAGAGACAGAGAGAGGGGGAGAGACACAGACAGAAAGATCTTGCGTCCTCTGGTTCACTCTCCAAATGCCTGCAACAGCTAAAGTGAGCCAGGCAAAAGGCAAGAGCCAGGAACTACATTCAGGTCTCCCACATGGACAGGAGAGACCCAAGTACATGGACCAGTATCTGCTGCCGCCCAGGCGAGTTAGCAGGGAGCTGGATCAAGCAGAGCAGCCGGGACTCGCACTGGTGCTCCAAGCTGGGGTGTGGGCAGCCCAAGCGGCAGCATGACCAGTTGTGCCACAGCACCTGCCCCTTAGGCCGGCTCTTGAGCTTCAGGCATGACCTCCTGATGATGCTGGCTGGGTGTCAAGTCTTTGAGACATCGATTAAGTGAGGAAATCAGAGGTCAGCACCCCTGTCACCTCCCGCCGTAAGGAATGGCCACTGCTCCTATGCCATAGCCCCTGCCCTTTCACAACCCTCTGTGGACAGGATGCCAGTGTCCCCACTACACAGATAAGAAGACTGAGGCTAACAGGAGCAGCTGCTGGCCCGGGTAGGTTCAGAGATGGGATTAGGAACCCCAACAATGGCCCGGGCAGCTACATTTCCCCACGCTGTCTCAGTGGCTGAAGCAGGGTCAGGCTTCCCAAGAATCGCCCTGGGGCAGGGGCCAGAATCCAGGTCCGGATCAAGGCCATCCTCAGCCCCAGCTGGGAGGAACGCCGTTCCTAATCCACAGCCGGCACTGAGCGGCTGCAACTCCCCCCGCTCCCGCAGACAGGGGCCTGTCCCGTGGCCAGTTACCGGAAGGTCGGTTCCAGTGTTGTACCCCACGAAGTTCTTATCAATTTTCCGACAAAAGTCAAAATTCCCCAGCTTCTAGCGCTTGCCTGGAATAGCTAAGGTGGGCAGTTTCCTGCGCTGGGCTGGTGGGTAATTAATGGAGCTCAGGAACCCGCAGTGCAGAAGTACCGAATGGGGGCACTTCCGCACAGCAGGAGGTCTCCAGCCGGCCTCCTGGTCCCCCGCTCAGTGAGAGCAGTGGCCCCAGCCTGGAGCCCACACACAGCTGGTGGGGCCCTCAGTTGTTCCTGCAGTCTCTGGACTCCCATAGAGAATCAGTGTCTGGGGGCTGAAGCTGTGGAGTAGCTGGGAAAGCCGGCATCCCGTATGGGCTCCAGGGAGTCCCGACTGCTCCACTTCTGATCCAGCTCTCTGCTATGGCCTGGGAAAACAGCAGAGGACGGCCCAAGGGCTTGGGCCCCTGCACCCATGTGAGAGACCCAGAGGAAGCTCCTGACTGCTGGCTTCAGCCTGCCCCAGCCTGCCTATTTCGATCATTTGGGGAGTGAACCAGTGGATGGAAGACCTGTCTTTCTGTCTGTCATGCGCTCTCTCTGCCTTTCAAATAAATAAAATAAATCTTTTTTTTAATTTAAAATTTTTTAAATTTATTTGACAGGTAGAGTTACAGACAGCGAGAGAAAGAGAGACAAAGAGAAAGGTCTTCCTTCCGTTGGTTCACTCCCCAAATGGCTGCCACGGCCAGCGCTTCGTCGATCCAAAGCCAGGAGCCAGGTGCTTCCTCCTGGTCTCCCATGCGGGTGCAGGGCCCAAGCACTTAGGCCATCCTCCACTGCCCTCCCGGGCCAGAGCAGAGAGTCGGACTAGAAGAGGAGCAACCAGGACTAGAACCCAGAGCCCATATGGGATGCCGGTGCCACAGGCGGAGGATTAAGCAAGTGAGCCACGGCACCAGCCCCTAAAATAAATCTTTAAAAAATAAAATCAGTGTCTGCCCTGGAGGCAGGTGCATTTAACCATGCTCTGAAAGAGGTCAGGGCAAGGGTGTGACTGAGGGACCCTCCCTCACTGTCCCACACCCTGCCACAGCCAACAGAGGGGCCTGACTCATTGGGCAAACCAGGGACCTTCCACAGTCCCTCCACACAGGTGGTCTGTGCACTGCCTGGAAGCACTGATTGTCAGCAGGTTGTGTGTGTGAGCCAGGAGGGGGCGCACTGTGCACTCAGGGCCTGAGCATCACTCAGCAAGGCCATGCCCTGCCTGCTACCCTCTCTGCTTTATGGGGAAAGGGATCCTAATCTTGCCCTTGACACTTGCTCCTGAAGCCTCCCAGTTCTCGGGTGGGCATTTGCTGCATGCCCTGCACGCCCCGTGATGTCGGACAATGCACCTCCTATTCTCCTCTTCCCTGGACTGGTTGAAAGCCCGCCATCTGCCCCAGCCCAGACACGCCCGCCTGTCCCCTGACCCGCCCAGCACAGCTGTGTGCCTGTCCATCCCTGGACCAGGTCCCTGCCGCAAGGACAGGAAGTGCTCCCCACATCCGCCCAGGGCCGCACAGCCTGGTGCTTTTAAAAAACCTGCCTTGTGGTCCCTGAGCCCAGTAGCCAGAGAGAGAATTTTTAAAGAGACTCACAAACATATCATTAAAATCTCAGTGCTGGGTTTTGGGGAGGGCTGGGCGGCTCCCACCCCTGCTTTCCGGAAACACAGATTTTAGCGTTTGAAAGTAACAGGCTGCTCGAGTGAGGCCACCCTAAATATCCCATCCGGCCCTTGCGGGCAGCTGGGGAAGCATGGGATGTGTCCCGCAACCATGGCCTCTGCCCAGACTGCTGGACCGGCCCCGCCCAGGCCCCCACTGCAGTCCACCTCCAGTTTACCCTTGACCTCTGCTTGCACGGGGTCTTCCTATGAGCCACTCAGAGCCCCCTGCTCCCCTGCAGCCCCAGACCCCCAGGCTCCCCACTGGCCAGAGGCACAGGCTCCCTCCTGCCAGGGGAGTCTGACCCCTTTCCCCACAGACCCAGACCCCTGCTGTACCCACACCTCAATCTGTGGGTCGCTGCAGCACCCCCACACTGTGCACAGAGCCCCTCTGCCGAGAGCCCCCTCCCTGGCCTCCACCAGCCGCTGCGTCGCCACCCCGTCCTTCAAGGCCCATTCAGAAGTCATCTGCACCCTGAAGCCGGCTGCCATGCTGCCAGCGGGGACCCTCGGACAGCCGGGCCCTCGATTGGTTCTTTCCAGAAGCTTGTCACCCCCTCCCTGTTCCCACCTGCCTTTCCCACACCTCCTCCTTCAGCTCGCTCCCCAGAATGCACTTGGGCCTTTGCCCTCGCGGTGTTCTTCCCTCCCAGCCCCAGGTCCTTCCACTCTTGGCCTTGGCTCTGCCAGCATGTCCTCTGCAGCGCCCTCTCTGGACACTGCGGCAAAGCTCCAGCCATCCCTCACGGCCGGCCCAGCTGTCAGCCGGAGATCTCTCCTCCTCCACCTCCCACGGAGGCCCACGGGGTGACCTGGAATGACCCCGTCCCCCTGAGATGCGGGCAGTGACTTCCCTGCCCACCGGGTGTCCCCGGGTGCTGTGGCCTTGGGTCTGGTGTCCACCTCCCCTTTAGCCTGGGAGGCCAGAGGAGGGCCTGTCCCCTGTCTCATCTGTGGAGCCCAGGGAGTGCAGGAGGCTGAGGGGGGACAGGAGACAAGACTGCTGTTTGGGGCTTAGGGCCCGCTGGTCACCTGCCAAGCTCCTCACTACACAAGCTCGTGGAGCCTGGTCTACACCCCCAGAGCCAGCCAGGTGCTGGGAAGGAAGCCACCCCACCCAGGCTGCTCAGGCCCTGCCCCAGCACCCCCGCCCTGGTGACCGCCCACTCCTGCTTCATCTTTCAGTGGAGCGTGACCACGTCCTGGGCCGCCAGGAGCCCCACTGGAAGGAGTTTCTCTTCGACCTGACTCAGATCCCAGCGGGGGAGGCGGTGACAGCTGCCGAGTTCCGGATCTACAAGGAGCCCAGCACGCAGCTGGTCAACAGGACCCTGCACGTCAGCACGTTCCAGGTGGTCCAGGAGCACTCCAACAGGTGCCTCTCTCAGCCCTGCCCTGCCATGCAGCAGGGCCTCAGTGTCAACGTCGAGGCCTAGGAGCTGTGTCCAGTCCAATTGGGCAGGGCGGGGGCGGGGGGCGCATTTCCTGGAGGAGGAGGGGGGCTTCCCGAGAGAACAAGAAGCCTGAGACAGGGAGATGCTCAGCCCCAGGCCGCTCAGCCCCGTGGGAAGAGCCCCAGCCGCTGTCCTGGCTTCAGGCCCCCCTCCCCGGCAGCCTGGCTGTGGGGCTGTGGGTGACTGAGCCCCTGAGCCCCAGTTTCCCCAGTGTACAGACACAGACCACCACGGAGGGTTGGTTCCATGAGACAAGGCACAGAAGGGCCCAGCCCAAGCCAGGCGGGGCAGGTGCTCGGGGAACGTCCCCCACGCGGGCACAAACGCACACGGCGGCTGGTGGCCCTCGGTTAATTGTTCTTTCGTGTCCACAGGGAGTCTGACTTGTTCTTTTTGGATCTTCAGACGCTCCAGGCTGGGGACGAGGGCTGGCTGGTGCTGGACGTCACGGCAGCCAGTGACCGCTGGCTGTTGAGCCGTCACAAGGACCTGGGACTCCGCCTCTATGTGGAGACGGAGGACGGTGAGGCTAGGGGCTGGGCTCCGGGCTCCAGGCTCCTCAGAGCTGTCCCAGCAGGGGCTTCTGGCACGCAGCGCCTTCTCAGCTGTGCCCTCAGGGATGCCAGTGAGGTCCACGGTGAGGTCCCAGCAGGAGGCCCTGGCATAGGCTGGCCCCCCACTCCTGACCGGCAGGATCTGGGCCTGGAAGGGTGGGGGGGGAGTGACTGGGCTGCAAGCAGTGAGCCGAGGTCCTGCCACGTCCTCAGCCTCAGTTTCCTCATCTACAGACCACGAGGTGCTCCCCACTCACCCACAGGAACTCTGGGCTGAGCCTCCTTTGTTCCAGGTGGTGGGTAGGAGCCCCAGGAAGCACGAGGGGTGGCTGTGGGGGTGGGGTGGCTGGGGGGGGAGGGGAAGCAGATGAGAGTGGGAGGGCGGCAGGGGTCGCTGGGGCCAGGCAGACCAGGCCGGATGTTGGAGTCCGAGGGTGGTCTGTTGGATTCACAGCCGCAGAGGCTGGCAGGAGCGGCTCAGGTTCTGGAAGCCCTGAGATCTGCACTCTAAAGGAGTTGGCTTCCGTGGGGACCGTGCGCGGTGACCTGCTCCCTGGGGGTACAGAGCAGGGGGGTGAGGAAGCTGACAAGCACCACCTCCGCCATCAGTGCGGTGGTGCCCTGCGCCCCGACAGGAGGTGGTGAGAAGGGCACTTCCCCTGGGGGCTCCCTCCCCAAACCCCAGCCCCAGTCTAACATCAGAAAACCCCAGACCAACCCAAACCAGGGACATTCTGATAGCCAAAGTCTGCACCTTGTCAGCAGTGCCAATCAGAATGACCAGGACAAGGCTGGGGAATTCACCGGTGGTGAGGATGTGGCAGAGTGGGGGTGTCAGGGTCACTGTCCTGCCCGGCGAGGGTGGGCTGGGGCCGTGCAGGAGCCTGGGAGGGAGGCTGGCTGCGGGGACATGATGAGTGGCAAGTCGGGGTAGATACGTACTAAGGCTGGTTGCAGATCTGACAACAGCCTATCCCCAAAGTCAGTGCACTTCCTGGAGGAACCTGCGTGATGGCTTGGTTAGCACAGGAGGGAACAGCAGGGCGCTCTGAACAGCTGAGCGTCGTCCCGCTGAGATCTGAGACAGAAGCACTGTGCTGAGACTCCAGTGTGTCTCTAAGCAGCCACTGCCCTGGATAAACTCAGTCCCTGGTCGTGCTGGCCGGGGAGGGCCAGGCTGCTTGGCCCCTTCTGTTGGCTTTCCCAAGGCCAGTTTCTGGAATCCACAAGCAAGCGTCCCAGGCTTGGAGTTAGCTTGTGCTCAGCAGAATGTGAGAAGGTGTCCTGGGCGGGTCCTGGAGCAGCGAGGGACGTCAGGGGAAACGTGCAGATCTAACCCACTGCGGTGTGTAGACTCACAACGACACTGGTTCCTTAGCCGTGACAAATGTGTCCCAGGAATGTGCCATGCTGACTTCTCCCCAGGGAAGCTGGGTCAGAGTGTGGGAACTCCCCGAGCCATCGGTGTGGTTTTCCTGAGAATCTGGACATTGTGACACTAAGATTTTCCTGAATAGATGTAGAAAATTAAAATAGCCCTGACTCAGTGGGGAGAGCAGACCGTGCTGGACAAGAGCGAGGTCAGGGAGAGGAGACCTGCAGAGCGAGGGGACCCGGGCCCAAGAGAAGAAAGAGTTTCCGGAAGCAGGGAGCCGCCCCTGTGTCCGGCTGGGAGCGCTAAAGACGTGGGCAGAGCAGCGGCCAGAGCTGGTCACACGGAGGTTGCTGCCCAAGAGCGCAGCGGAGTGTGGGGACAGAGCCTGAGTGTGGAGCTGGAGGGAGGCAGGGAGACAGGCGGAGGGGACTGGGGAGCGGCAGCAGGGAGTGGGGTGTGGCTGGAGAGAGCTGGGGACCCGGGGCGGCCTTCTCAGCTTGGGAGACACCTGTGCCCTGCCGTGCCCCCAAGTGAGCACTCCGCTGGGGAAGACGCTGGGAAACCCGGCCAAGCTGAGGATGGATGCAGAGGGCAGGGCGGGTCAGACCCTTCAGCAGCAGGGGCCCCTCCCGCGGCTGTTGGGGACCCGGTGCCCAGGCACGATGGGGGTGAAACTGCAGCTTCTCCTGGGTGGGGGGCAGCCACTCCCTCCCCCGGCTGCCAATGAGATTCAACAAGTGCAGGGGCCAGGCACACGGGGGCACCAAGAGGGCCGGCTGTCCCCTTCTCCGTGTCATCACCATCGTGGCCGGGCAGGGCCGGGTCCTTACATCCTTGGTGACTCTGAGCAAGCTCTGGAGGGGGAGGCGGTTCTGTCCCAGGCTCCACTGGGGCAGGCAGGGCCAGAGGGATTCCTGATGGAGCCCCATCCCCACCCAACCCCGGTAGCCTGGCCTCAGCTCTGCCCTGCCGGGACCCGTGCGCTGTGCAGGGTGGTCGCAGTGCAGCTCTGTCCTGGCAGCTCCAGTGCAGTGCAGGCGATGCCCACTGGGTCCGGCAGGACAGAGCGGGCTGGTCGTGGCTCCAGCCCAAGCAGCTCCCTTCCCGCCAGGGTCAAGGGCTGTGGGGGTCCGGTGTGCACGCCCGGTGGGGAGCGGGACCCCGGGCGGCCGCGCCCTCCCTGCTCTGTGACGCGGCGGCTGGGCTCGCCCGTGGGGCGCACACGGCCCGTCCCTGGCCTCTTGCAGGGCGGACCATGGCGCGGCTGTGGCTTCTGGCGTCGGCGCTCGGGCGCTGCGTCCCCGCCGGCCGCTCGGGGCCCGCGGCGGGCCGGGGCTGCGTCCGCCGCTTTGCCGCCAGCCCCCGGCCCCGCGCCCGCTTCTACACGGACCCCGTGGAGATGGTGAAGGACATCTCCGATGGGGCGACCGTCATGGTCGGGGGCTTCGGGCTCTGCGGGATCCCCGAGAACCTGATCGCGGCGCTGCTGCGGACGCGCGTGAGGGACCTGCGGGTGATCAGCAGCAACGTGGGCGTGGACGACTTCGGCCTGGGCCTCCTCCTGGCCACCAAGCAGATCCGCCGCATCGTGTGCTCGTACCTGGGCGAGAACGCGCTGTGCGAGCGCCAGTACCTGGCCGGCGAGCTGGAGCTGGAGCTGACGCCGCAGGGCACCCTGGCCGAGCGCATCCGCGCGGGCGGCGCCGGGGTGCCGGCCTTTTACACGCCCACGGCCTACGGGACGCTGGTGCAGGAAGGGGGCGCCCCCATCCGCTACTACCCGGACGGCCACTTGGCCATCCGCAGCCAGCCCCGGGAGGTGAGGGAGTTCGAGGGCCGCCACTACCTGCTGGAGCGCGCGCTCAGGGCCGACTTCGCGCTCGTCAAGGGCTGGAAGGCCGACCGCGCGGGCAACGTGGTCTTCAGGGGCAGCGCCAGGAACTTCAACGCGCCCATGTGCAAAGCCGCCGACGTGGCGGCCGTGGAGGTGGAAGAGATCGTGGACGTGGGGGCTTTCCGCCCGGAAGACATCCACGTGCCCAACATCTACGTGGACCGCGTGATCAAGGGCCGCGCGTTCGAGAAGCGGATCGAGCGCCTGACCGTGCGGCCCGAGGTCGCCGCGGGCGCCTGCGCGGGAGCCAACGCGAGGACGCGCATCGTCAAGCGCGCAGCCCTGGAGTTCGAGGACGGCATGTACGCCAGCCTGGGCATAGGCATCCCTCTGCTGGCCAGCAACTTCATCCGCCCGGGCGTCACGGTCCACCTGCACAGCGAGAACGGCATCCTGGGCCTGGGCCCCTTCCCGACCAGAGGGGAGGCGGATGCCGACGTCATCAACGCGGGCAAGCAGACGGTCACCGTGCTGCCCGGCGGCTCTTTCTTCTCCAGCGACGACTCCTTCGCCATGATCCGCGGGGGACACATCCAGCTGACCATGCTGGGGGCCATGCAGGTCTCCAAATACGGGGACCTGGCCAACTGGATGATCCCCGGCAAGAAGGTGAAAGGGAAGGGCGGGGCCATGGATTTGGTGTCCAGTGACAAGACCAAAGTGGTGGTCACCATGGAGCACTGCACCAAGGACAAGAGCCCCAAGATCCTGGACAAGTGCAGCATGCCGCTGACCGGGAAGCAGTGCGTGGACCGCATCATCACTGAGAAGGCCGTGTTCGACGTGCACAAGAAGAGGGGGCTGACGCTCATCGAGCTCTGGGAGGGCCTGACCGTGACCGACGTCCAGAACAGCACGGGCTGCGCCTTTGCCGTATCTCCCAACCTCAGGCCCATGCAGCAGGTGGCCCCCTGACGGGCCCTAGCTGGAGGGTGGGTCCCGGGGAGCCTCCTGGGTGTGCAGGAGAGGGCACTGGGGGCCGCACACACGGGTCGCCTGCGCTGTGACCACGGCCGCAGCATCTCAGGGGCTCCACCGCCCGACAGACCCTCTTGCATCCAGAGGACCCTGGCTAGAATTAAAGACAAAGGGGAAACCCGCGCGCCCTCCCGAGTGGTCTGGGTGAGGGCACAGCTCTGAGCTCTGCGTTGCGACGGGCAGTCGGCCCGCGCCTGCCTCCGGTGGTTGTGCGGGCAATCAGCGGCGGGGGAGCGCTCCCGTGGCGGATTCCGGTCAGGGCCTCCGCACCCAGGGAGCCCAGGAACGGAGGGGGCGTGGGGAGGCAGAGCGGCCCTGCCCTGCGACCCCGACCCGGCCTCTGAAACGCTCCTCACATGCAGGAGGGCTTTCTGACCACTGAGCTGCGTGGGAGTGTGAGGCGCTGATGTGTGAATGCGTGGGAGTGTGAGGTGCTGCTGTGAATGTGTGGGAGTGTGGGGTGCTGGCGTGTGAATGAGTCCATTGGGTGTGAATGAGTGTGTATAGGAGCGCATGTGAGCTGTCTGTGTGGGGTGTGAAGTGTGTATGTGTGGGATGCATGTGTGTCAGTGGGAGGTGTGTGTGTGAGAAGTGTTGAAAGTGTCTGGCAGTAGTATGCCCCTGGTGAGAGCGGCTCCCGGGTTGGTGGGGGCCGTGGGTGGGGCTGGCTGGCGGGAGACTCCAGGGAGGGAGGGACTTTCTGAGAGGTCCCTTTGGAGCCTCCCCCAAGGCCTGGGCAGATCCTGGGAGGAGGGCGAGGAGGGGAGACAGCATTCAGTGAGGGCACCGTTTGGCCAGCTGGGCGGTGGGCCGGGACCGTGGCCAGGAGGGGTGAGACGTCACGGAGTGGACAGCCCTTCCCCAGGCTCCTGGGCAGGGTATGTGACCACCCTGGGCTGCCGAAGCTTCTGTCATTGGTGGGGGAAGGCCCTGGGGGAGGAGGAGGAAGGCCCTGGCGGGTCGCTCCTGCATAGCTGACAGCGGCTGAAGAGGGGCCCCAGGCACAGCCCACCTGGCCCTTGGGGCAGCCGCTCCTGGCAGCAGCAGCTCTCCGTCAGGTTCACCTGGCTCTCAGCTTCCGGTGGGCCCTCCCCCCTCACCGCCTGCAGGCCAGGCTGGCTCCCGGAACTCCGCGAGAGTTTGTCACCGGCTGGGTTTCCTGTGGCCTCCGCTCTTCATCCACGAGGTCCTCAGATGGACATGCACAAGACCAAGGCAAAGATCAGGCCAGCCTGGAGGACCGAGGGCCTCCTTGGCCCAGAACAGCCGGGGCTCCCCAGGTCTCCCCAAGACAGTGCAGTGTCACACACAGACCTGGGACCGTCTCTGGGCCAAGGGCATCCCGAGGTTCAGCCGTTCTGAGGGCTCCACTCAGGCCGGCACTGGTGACTGCTGACCGCTCAGCTCCGGGCTACTCCACTCTCTCCCCATGGGGACCTCCCGTGGCTTTCCCTCTGCTCCGGGCCCCGCCCTCACAGCTCTGCTACTTCCCCAGCCCTGACCTGCCAGCACCCACTCTCCCAGTGGCTTCTCTGTGGCCCTCCCTCCATGTCAGCTCCTGCAGCACGCAGCGTCCCGTCTGGACAGGAGCCTCACATGGGTCAGCATGTGTGCTTGGGGCAGGTGACATCATGGGTCAAAGGCTGGCCTCTGGCTGTTCCGTCATCCAGTGGTCAGTGGACTTGGTCTGAGTCACGCCACTTAAGGGCTGACCTCGAGTGGGCCGGCAGGTGGGGCGGGCAATGTCCTTGACCTGTGGTGTATAAGGGAGACCAACGTTAGCCTTGCCAATGGAATGAGCGAAGCTGCACGTGTCGTGTTTACATGTGCACACATATACTCGTACGCATGTGTGTGTATCATGCTTGTAACCGGTGTGAAGTAGGCGCCCATGTGAGCTGAACAGCTGGCGCTCTCTTTAAAGAGCTGTGGAAATGAGCCCGTGGTCACGCTTCCGTCCTGTGGCAGAGGAAGCTTTGGCAGAGGCACAGTGCAGGAGGTCTGTCGCGCTGAGTGTCTGAGCATGCGCAGCACGTGAGGCTGTGCCTGCTCGCAGGGACTCGGACACCAGGAATTTTGTTGTGGAGGCTCAAAGGCCAGGACAATGCTACTGGGAAAAAGCTGAAAAGGGGCCAGTGCTGTGGCACAGCGGGTTAAGCCGCCGTCCACAGTGCCAGCTTCCTATATGGGCACCGGTTCGAGTCTCAGCTGCTCCACTTCCTTTCCAGCTCCCTGCTAATGCACCAGGGAAAGCAGCAGAGGATGGCCCAATCCTTGGGCTCCTGCACCCACATGGGAGACCCAGATGTAGCTCTGGCTCCTGGCTTTGGCCTGGCCACCATTGCGGCCATCTGGGGAGTGAACCAGAAGATGGAAGATTCTCTCTCTCTCCCACAGCTCCCCTCTCTGTAACTCTTTCAAATAAATAAATCTTTATAGATAATCTCTTCTGCAGCAAGCGCCACGGCTCACTAGGCTAATCCTCTGCCTTGCGGCGCCAGCACACCGGGTTCTAGTCCCGGTCGGGGCGCCGGATTCTGTCCCAGTTGCCCCTCTTCCAGGCCAGCTCTCTGCTGTGGCCCAGGAGGGCAGTGGAGGATGGCCCAAGTGCTTGGGCCCTGCACCCCATGGGAGACCAGGATAAGTACCTGGCTCCTGCCATCGGATCAGCGCGGTGCACTGGCCGCAGCGTGCCTGCTGTGGCAGCCATTGGAGGGTGAACCAACAGCAAAAAGGAAGACCTTTCTCTCTGTCTCTCTCTCTCACTGTCCACTCTGCCTGTCCAAAAAAAAAAAAAAAAAAAAAAAAAAAACCTCTTCTGCTTTCTTAAAAAAAAAAAAAAAAGCTGAGAAAACCAAGCTTCTTTGAGCGCTGAACTCTGCCCAGAGCTTAGATGGACACAGTGAGAATAGCCCAGAAAGATGGAGAAGACTGAGCCAGGCCTGGGTGGGGGGGTTCCACCAGTGCTTGTTCTCTTTCCTGTGCTGACAACGCTGCTGTTTCAGGAAAGAGGCCAAGGGGCTGTTACCACCAGCAGGTGCTGAGCATGGCTCTCTCGGTGGCCTCCTGGCATCCCCGACTTAATTGTGGGGTTTGTGAGTTGCCTCCTGGGCTCTGACTGGCTGTGGGGGAAACCGCGCTTTTATGGGCATCCCTCTTCCTAGGGTTGAGGTCTGAGAATCGGCCCCACTCGCAGCCTTTTTTTTTTTTTTTTTTTTTTTAAGATTTATTTATTTATTTGAAAGGCAGAGTTACAAGAGGCAGAGAGAGAGAAAATCTTCCCCAGATGGCCACAATGGCTAGAACTGGGCTGATCTAAAGCCAGGACGGAGAACTTCTTCCAGGTCACCCACTTGGGTGCAGTGACCCAAGAACTTGGGCCATCTTCCACTGCTTTCCCAGGCCAAAGCAGAGAGCAGTCAGAACTCGAACTGGCACCCACATGGATGCTGGCACTGCAGGCTGCGTTTTACGCACTAGGCCACAGCACTGGCTCCTTCATTCTCTTTCTGACTGTCAGCTGGGCCCAGTGACCGTGAGCTCGGGCCGTGGGGTGAGACCTCCGCGCTGGACCCTGCTCTGGGGCTGTGTTCCCGCGGCCCCACCTCCGGGGCCCACGTCTCATCGGTGGGCCCGGGAGAGGTCACTGCCCGGCTCAGGGCCGGCTGGGCAGAGCAGGCCTCGCCGAGCCCTGGTAGATGCTGCTGTGAGCCTGAGCTGCGCCGGGCGGGGCACTGCAGAGGAGCTGGTGTGGGCGGAAGGCGGACCCCGCCCTGGCGCCCCGCGATGTCGGCGGAGCCTGGTTCTGAGGGCCGCTGCCCTGGCCTCTGTCCTGGCCGAGTGACCCCCTGTGGAGCTGAAGCGCAGGGCTGTGCAAAGACGGAGTGAGGGCAGCAGAGGGGAGCACGGTGAGCCTGAGGACCCGTCGCCGACGTCAGGGGCGCGACCACCGAGCCAGGTCCCTGGGGGCTCACGGGGCCCCTCCCCCGCGCTGCCTCAGGCGCCGCCTGCTGGGAGCTGCGCTAGCTCGGGACTCCGGGCTGCAGATGAGGACACTGAGGCCCAGGGGGTGCCCTCCGGGCCTCGGCCTCCAGCTGCATCCACGCGGGGCCAGCGCCCGCGAGTGACCCTCTTCCTCTCTCCGTCTCAGGGCTCAGCGTGGATCCCGGCCGGGCCGGGCTGTTGGGGCAGCGGGCACCGCGCTCCCGCCGGCCATTCATGGTCACTTTCTTCAGGGCCAGCCCGAGCCCTGGACGCGCCCCTCGGGCCCTGAGGCCGCTGAAGAGGAGGCAGCCGAAGAGAACCAACGAGCTGCCGCAGCCCAACAAGCTGCCGGGGATCTTCGGTGAGGGGCGGGGCCTGGGCCTGGGGCGGGAGGCCGGGTGGCTGCAGACCCCTGCCCCCTCTCCGTGGTTCAAGCCTCAGTCCCTCTCCCGTCTCCTTTCCTGACTGTCCCGTGCCAGATGCCCGCTGATGCAGGGTCTGAGCTCTGTCTCGGCTGTCCCTGCCTCCCGATGTCCCCTCCCTGCCACCCCTGGCCCCACAGGCCTTTCCCAGGAGCCTCTGTCAGAGTCAACTGCCCCTTCCCTGGGCAGCCACAGCCCCTTGAGGACCCTCGGTTCTATCCCAGGGCCCTGTGGGACCCACAGTTGTTCCTGGCAGCGGAGGCCCTAGGGGTCAGGGTCAGACCTGAGCGCACCCTCCGCCGCCACCGGGAGTCGTCCCCATGGCTGCCCTTGACTTGGGCCCCTTGCACCTGTGCAGTGGGCGGGGAAGAGGAGCCTGGGGTGGCCCGGGGTCTTGCTGGGCTGTCGTGGAGCATCAGAGGCCCCCAGGTGGCCAGGCAGGGAGGCGGGGCTGAGGTGGGCTCACTCTGTAACAGTCCGGAGCCACTGAAGGCTCTTGAGCTGGGCCAGAGCAGGACCGGGGTTCCAGGCGTGGCTTTACGAGAGCCGACGGTTTAGTGCCTTGTCATTTGTTTATGGGTCAGATGTGCCCACGGCACCCCCAGAACCCCTGAAATGACCTTGACCGTCTGTCCCCGCAGATGCTGTCCACGGCTCCAACGGCCGGCAGGTGTGCCGTCGGCACGAGCTCTACGTCAGCTTCCGGGACCTCGGCTGGCTGGTAATCTGCGACTCTGTCAGTGACGTCCCCACCTGCGGGTCCCGTGGCTCTCCAGGGAGGGAGTAAAACTGGGGGACTTGGATATCCTTGTGGTTTTTTTTTTTCTGGGTTTATAAGTTTTCCAAAGTGACATTGTGGTACTTTATGGTGGACTTTTTAAACTGCAACAGTGAAGATGATCTGAGCCTCAGCCAGCCAAGCTGTCAGGGGCCGAGGCCGGGCAGCAGCACCTTGCGTACCCCCCGGACTGCAGCTCCAGCCGGCCTGGCGGGGGCAGGCCGGGGAGGTGGAGGCAGAGCGAGGGTGCAGAGTGACGGGGACAGAGCTGGCACCCAGCCCTGCCTGCCCTGGGTCTCTGGGAGGGCGGAGGGGGTGGCGGGGCACCGAGGCTCAGGGAGGGAGAGGGCAGCCCTGTCTGTGCCGGGGCCGGGTTGGGCTCACCTCCTCCTTCCCCCCAGGACTGGGTCATCGCCCCCCAAGGCTACTCGGCCTATTACTGTGAGGGCGAGTGCTCCTTCCCGCTGGACTCCTGCATGAATGCCACCAACCATGCCATCCTGCAGTCCCTGGTCAGTACCGCGGCGTCCCGCTGGGAGGGCAGAGGGGGCCCCGTCCGGCTGGGAGGGCCATGAGTGCTGCTCCGGGCTCAGCAGCTTCTCTGTGCGGAGTTAGCAGGGTGGTTCAGCCCCGCACCTCTGGGGAAACTGCTCCTCACACGGCCGCTCTTACACACGGAGACTCGCATGCACTGAGCATGTGCACACCACGGCCCCCCATCAAACAGCCAGGCGTGTGCACACATGTGGGACACCCATGTGCCTGTGTGAGGCCCAAGTGCAGGAGGGCAGCAGAGCCTCTGGGGCTCCTGAACGCCGGGTGGAGAGAGCCGGCCCCTTCATATCCGCCCCGCAGGGCCACCGTCCATAACCTTTCCGTGCCGCCCTTGGTCAGGATTTCCGTCCTCCCACGATGCCCAGGAAGAGGTGTGAGCGTTTGGCTGGGGCCACGGGGCCTCTCGTTAGCCACATTACAGACCTGTCCAGCGTCCCCTGGCCACACACCCTTCCCAGGAAGCAGCCTGTCCCCTTGGGTCGCTCCTGCCTGGTCCTGGTTGCTCCCTGAAATGCTCCCCTCTGTGTCCGTCCAGTGAGCTTGGGTGACAGGGACCCCGCTGAGATATTCCTGGAGGATTCCCACCCCCCAGCCTGTGATCGAGATACGTCTGTGTCAGGAGACAGAGAAGTGCGATGCTAACAGGCTTGGCAGAGAAGCTGGGCTCAGAGATGTGTGATTTATTTGTGCCGTTGGATGCGCAGCCTGTGGGCACTAGGGCTTCCCACCCGGTTTGCCCCGTGGTGTGTGGCTCAGATACGAATGACATGGGTGGCACATTTGACTCCATGGTTCCTCTTCGTGTCACTCGTCTGATGAAGCCTGGGTCTCCAGGGAGGAGTCCGGAACGGCGACCCCCTGTGGCCGGATGTCCCCCCACAGTGTCCCAGCTCAGGAAAAGCCCTTTCCCCTGTCCAGCGGCAGCTGGTGGCTTCTGGTGTCTACGGTGGGCTTATAGCTAGAAGTTGGGGATGGCAGCCCGAGGGGCCAGTCTGGCTGGACATCCTCCAGAGGCTTGGCCTCCCCCTGGGTCCCCTGGGGTACCAGCTCCAAACTGGGGTGCAGGGGCCAAAGAGGGAGACGGGGGACAGGGGCCCTTCAGACAGCTCTGTCTGGGTCCTGACAGCCCCACTGAGCAACCAAAGCACACAGCTGGGGAAGCAGGCGCCCCATGCCGGCCTCCCCCGAGGCTGGAGGCCCTCGGACGGCAGCTCGCCTGCCAGGATTTTTACGGAGACTGGAAATGGGCAGCTCACTCCGTCAGGCCTTATGGTCAGTGAAAGCTGTTTTTGGGGGGGTCCAAGGATCCAGCTGCTGGTGCTGTCACGTGGCCTGCGTGCCTCAGTTTATCATCTGCAAAGAAAACTACTTGCCTTGGACATTGTCAGGAGGGTGAGACACAGAACTCCAGGCCTCAGCCATTCCCGGGGAACACAGTTGGAGGGGGAGGGGACCCGCCCGAAACTGAGAACAAGTGCCCTGAGGGGGAGGTGGTGCAGTTGCAGGGAGAAGCACAGAAGGCGGCCTCCAAAGGCTGGGGTGCACAGGCCCCCCTCAGGCGTGCAGTGTGCTGGGGACTGGCACAGCAGGGTGTCAGCACCCAGGGGCCAGTGAATGGGGCCGAGGTGGAGAGAGCACCACAAGATGCAAGGGGCAGGGGTGCTTGGGCAGTGCCCTGAGTGGGCAGGGGCAGCTCTGCATGGTGGTACCTGCCTTGGCTGCAGGGGGAGAGAGAGCCCGGGCAGATGAGCCCCCCCAAGACGGGCCAGGGTGGGGAGCAGGTGGGAGCCGGGGTCCGGACTGGGCAGGTCCTTGGAGGAGACCGCTGGGCTCATGTCCCTGCCTGCACCCCCTCTGGTCAGGTGCACCTGATGAAGCCAGACGCGGTCCCCAAGGCGTGCTGCGCGCCCACCAAGCTGAGCGCCACCTCCGTGCTCTACTACGACAGCAGCAACAACGTGATCCTGCGCAAGCACCGCAACATGGTGGTCAAGGCCTGCGGCTGCCACTGAGCCCGGCCGCCACCGGCTGCGGCCAGCCCTCCCCAGCCTGCCCCCTTCCTGCCAGGCTTCTGTCCTTTCTCGGCCCTCGGCCCCACTCTCCGGGCAGGCCTCATACTCGCAACCTCAGAGCTGGCTGCTCTCTCCGGCGGCAGCATGGAAGTCCTGGCTAAGACCCATCCTTGGTCATCCCTGGCCCCTGGCACTTGAACTTGGCTGACTCGCTCTGTAGCACTCCCACGGGGTTCAGGTGTGGGCCGAGGGCTGCGTCCCTCCCCAGAGGCAGCACTTGGGCATGACTGCAGCACGCTGGGTTCTGGGCGTGGGCATCAACATTCTAGGAAAAGACCAAGCTGGGAGGGCCCCGGCGCTTAGGGCTACAGCCGCTGGGGACGTCTCTTGGAGTGTGTCTTCCCCTGCCCTGGACCCGCCCCTCCTCCTGCCTGGGAAAGAGGTGGCCCCCAGAGAAGCAAAGAACCTGGGGCTCCCAGTTCCATCAACTGTCCCCACCACGTTGACTGAATATGGTGTTGGCTCTGGGGAAAAAAGTTAACTCTTTGTGGAAGCAAGGACAGCAGCTGCGGGGGGCCCCACTGCCCGCCCCGGGCCACCGCCGTGAGTGGATCCACTGGGCACTTTCCTGGACCTGCAGTTGATCCCCAGCAGCTGGTCAGAGCCGCGAGGGGCTCAGGCTCAACTCTAACCTGCAGAGGAGTATGGGCTCCACCCAGCGCTCCATAGACTGCCAGTACCCAAGGCAGGTGTTTGTGTCTGGGAGTCAAGAACAGGCAGGACACCAATGTCTGTGTCACCTGATATGCCCAGCAGCCCCTGTCCTCTTTCTTGGTCATGTGAGTCAAAGAGAAGGCCCCTGTCCCCGGGAGTGACAGGCGGCAATTAGGCTGAGTTGGGTGGGGACCCTCGTCTCAGCCTGCACCATTCCGGAAACCGCTGTTCTCCCTGGAGCAGTGCTGGGAGTCCCAGTGTTTATTTGATTTCTGACTTGCTAAGCCTGTAATTTACCTGCTGGGACAGACAGAGTCCAGCTGTCTGAACCCTGTCATTAAAAGCGGATCCTGGGTCCACCCCGACCACAGGCACGCCCAGCAGAGGTGGCACCGCCGGGCTCCCAAGGATGCATCTCGGGCTCACGCTCCACACCCCTGAGGATGGGCTGAGCAGGGGTGGGGGCTGGGGCCACGCTGTGAGACAGCTGCCCTGCACCTGTGCCCCCCACCCCAGCCATACACAGACCCTGGTGGGGAGCGGGTTTCTTGTTAGGCTGGGGCTTCCGGCTCAGGCTGGCGGGGAATGGACCAGGCACTGGCCTGAATGTCAGGAGGTCCGTATTTTGGTTTCAACTTAACCACCAACTTGCTTAGTTTCTGAACAAGTTCCCTTTCCCATCCATGCCTCATACTCCCATCTACAAGAGGACACAGGACACTCTCATGACAGAGGCCCTTCTTGCCAGGGCACAGGCCTGCCACCTGACCCTCCCCCTCCCAGAGCCGGGAGCCCAGGGGCCATTTTGGGACCTGATCTGATGGCCCAACAGCAACCTCCTCCCAACACTGGGAAAGTGGCAGCTTGGAAACCAGGGGACAGCACACAACCTGGCCCGGCCCAGCAGCCCTAGGAATGCTTGTGATCGAGTGTTCTGAAGATGCAGGGCAAGAGTGGAAGGTTCATGATGTGACTTCCTTTGCATGATGGGCAGCAGAGTACAATGGCCATGGCCTTGCCATCCAGGTGGCCACCAAATGACATCAGACAGAAAACAACGGGGAGGGGTGTGTGTGAGATCATAATGGACAAAGAGTTGATGAGGTGGCCGCGGACAGCGACCGAGAGCATCATCTCACCTCCATTCCAGGCTGCACATCAGTGGCGTAAGGGCGGCCAGCCGAGGCCCCCTGGTTGCAGCAGGTGCACGCTGGCTGGTAAGGGCAGCCAGCCGAGGCCCCCTGGTGGCAGCAGGCGCATGCTGGCTGGTGGGGAGGAGGCAAGGCTGGGTTGGTCCATGTGGACAGCCTCACAGCTGGCTGCACAGTGTGTGGAATAAATAGTGACTAGGAGAGGTCTTTTAAATGGACTTGCAAGGGGCCTGCTTTCTGGCACAGCAGGTTAAGCCATCACCTACAATGCCAGCATCCCATATGGGCACTGGTTCAAGTCCCAGCTGCTCCAATTCTGATCCAGCTCCCTGCTAATGTGCCTGGGAAAGCAGAGGACGGCCCAAATGTTTGGGTCCCTGCCACCCACTTGGGAGACACAGATGAAGCTCCTGGTTTCAGCCTGGCTCTGGTCACTGTGGCCATTTGGGGAGTGAACCAGGGGCTGGAAGATCTTGCTAACTCTGCCTTTCAAATAAATAAACAAATAAATCTTAAATAAACAAACAAATGGGGGCCAGCACTGTGGTGTAGCAGGTAAAACTGCTGCCTATGGTGCCAGCATCCCACATGGGTGCCGGTTCAAGTCTTGGCTACTCCATTTCTGATCCAGCTCCCTGCGAATGTGCCTGGGAAAGCCGCAGAGGGTGACCCAAGTGCTTGGGCCTCTGTACCCGTGTGGGGGACTCAGAGGAAGCTCCTGGGTCCTGGTTTCGGATTGGCCCAGCTCCAGCCATTGCGGCCCTTTGGGAAGTGAACAAGCAGATGGAAGATCTTTCTCTCTGCCTTTAAAAAAAAAAAAAAGTGGACAGCAAGTTTGGGCCTCCCCACTCTGCTGTCCTAGGAGAGCCAACCCCTCCCAGCAGGCGCCCAAGGGCACCTGCTGTGTTTACCTCAAGGCTGGGCTTTTCCTAAAGGAGCTACACGGGGTGGTCTGGGAGGAGGCCTGGCCTCGCACCCTCACCTGTTCATGTGCTCAGGGGACACTGGAGGGCATCTTTCTGTTGAAAGCTTCTCTTACTGGGAGCCCTAAGCACCTTTTTTCCAGTGTTTTCCCACCTAAAATATCACGTGTGGCAGGGACACTTCTGAAAAAGGCAAGAAAAGAACAAAAGCAGCCATGATCCCACCACAAAGACAACCAGGCAAACTCCTTACACATCGGTCTTCACAAACGATACACAGATACTTGAAAGTTAGGAACACACTCTACGGACTGTTTGGTGATTTGTTTTTCAATTTATGATACGTGAGTACTTAGAAAATTTATCAAATATTCACTGGAAACGTGGTTTTCAGCAGCACTTCAGGCCTTGAGCCCCGCCTTGTCTTCTCCCTCACACAGCAGGTCTCAGTGCCTTCCCCAGAGGGTGGGCAGAGAGAAGCCCGCTTGAAGCCCACCTCCTCAGGGGAAAGGGCCGAAGCTGGGGCGCAGGAAGACACCACAGCCTGTGCCCTCAGCCACCTCTGAAGACACCTGGGGTCTGCCTGGGGACAGCAGTCTGAGGACGAGGATTTATTTTGGTGGAGAAAACCTCCAGGGTCCCCCCGGGCAGGTGGGGGTCGGGCCCTGGCAGTAAATGCCGGGCCTGTCCGTGATGGGGAGGGCGGTGCCTGCCTGGCTGCTCTGGCCCAGGCATGATGGGAAAGAGCCCAGAGAAGTCCATGTTGTGCCTGCAAGAGCTGACGCCGAGGAAGGGCTCTGGCCACGAACGCTGCTTCCGTGCTGGTCCCGGAGGCCGCAACTCCTTCCTGGGTGTGCAGAGCAAGGGCAGAGAGGGCGCCAGCTCAGCTCACGCAAACTCGCCACAATCCGCGATGATCACCTTCTGCTTGGGCTTCCCGTCCTTGCTGCCCTGGGCCTTGGGGGGCAGAACAGAGACCAGAAGTCAGAGGCGTGCAGGTGGAGAACGAAGTCTGGCTCGGGCACTCCCGCCCTGCTGCCCACTCCCAACCTGGAACCTTCCGCCTGGGGACAGGACTGCTGCAGGAAGCACACCCGGTCCACCCCTGCTGGCTTGGGCCTGTTCCCTGCCACCCACCTCAATCTGTCGCAAGACATCCAGACCGTCGGTCACCTCCCCAAACACCACATGCTTTCCATCCAGCCAGTCTGTCTTGTCACACGTCAGGAAGAACTGGGAGCCATTGGTGTTTGGGCCAGAGTTGGCCATAGAGAGCAGGCCTGGGGGAGGGAAGGAGCTCGTCAGCTCCCTCCACCCCAGCGCACATGGGTGCAGCCCGTATGCAGCCCCCCGCTGGGCAGGCTGGGACTGCAGGATGCACAGACCACGTGGACATGGCCACCTTGTCCTTCACTCAGTTGACCGTGATACAGGATGGGCAGGGTTGTTTCAATCACTTCACGCTGGTTTGCCCTTGCATGCATCCGTGCATGCCCCGTAAGTACCTGTTGTCTACTTTGTAACAGGGCCCCTGTTGAGCCCTGGGGACAAGGATCCCAGCCCTGGTGGAACTCAGTCTCGGGGACCAGTCATTCCAAAGATAAACAGAACTCAACGTTGGCTTAGCACCCAAAACCCAGTCTGTGTAATATACCATGTCAACAGAATAACGAACAAAACCCACATCTTATCATGAAAGATACAGAAAAAACCCTTGGCAAAATTCAGCACTTCTTCATCATGCAAGCACCCAGCTAGGGACAGAAGAGGAACTTCCTCGACCTGAGAAACGGCGCCTGCAGAAAACCCCAGGATGAAGCCCTGGATGCTGTCTCCCCCCCACCAACAGAATGCCACTGTCACTCAGCACTGCACTGGAGAGGCCAACCAGGCCACTTAGGAAAGCCGAAGGGAAGGAGGTCCAACTGGAGAGCTACATGGAGATACTGAGACAGCTCCATTTGCAGACGACATGATCCTGTGTACAGGAAATCCAAGGAGTCCACTAAAAAAACTATTGGCTGGCGCCACGGCTCACTAGGCTAATCCTCCGCCTGCGGTGCCGGTACACCGGGTTCTAGTCCCAGTCAGGGCGCCGGATTCTGTCCCGGTTGCTCCCCTTCCAGTCCAGCTCTCTGCTGTGGCCCGGGAGGGCAGTGGAGGATGGCCCAAGTGCTTGGGCCCTGCACCCGCATGGGAGACCAGGAGAAGCACCTGGCTCCTGGCTTCGGATTGGCGCAGCGCACCAGCTGTAGCAGCCATTTTGGGGGGGTGAATCAAAGGAAAGGAAGACCTTTCTCTCTGTCTCTGTCTCTCACTGTCTAACTCTACCTGTCAAAAAAAAAAAAAAAAAAAACTATTAAGAACTAATTAACAGGTTTCTGTAAGGTTGCAGGATATAAGATCAATATAAAACATCAATTATATCTCTATACATTAGCCATAAACCTGAAAATAAAAACAATTTCACTTATACTAGCATCAAAAATAATAAAATACATGGCAACAAATTTAAAAGATGTATAAAATTTACACTCTGAAAATCACAAAACATCATTGAAACACATTAAAGAATAGGTAAACAAAAGGCAAGATATCGTATGTTCATGCATTAGGAGACTCAATGTTGTTAAGAAGGCAATACTCCCAAATTGATCGAAGATTCAGTACAATCCTTACCAAAATCTCAGCTGGATATTTTACATGAATTGGCAACGTTTATCCCCAAATTTATATGGAAATATAAGAGAATCAGAATAGCAAAAACAATCTTAAAAGAAAGTTGGAGGACTAGCAGTTCCTAAATGCAGAACTTACTAAAAAGCTACAGAATTCAAGACTGTGGTAGTGGCATAGAATAGATACACAAGGTACTTCAAATGTTTGTGGGAAATGGAATTAAACGGCAAGTTTAGGGGGAAATGGGTTAAGCTACTGCTTGGGATATCCATATCTCATTACCAGAATGCCTGGGTTCAAGTCCTGTCTCTGCTTCTGATCCAGTTTCTGTAACACACTAGGAGGCAGCAGCTGATGACCTCAGTGTTGCAGTTGCTGCCACCCACGTGGGAGACCTAGGCTTTGGCCGGAGCCAGTCCTGGCTTTGGCTGTTGTAGGTATTTGACAGTGAATCAGCCGATGGAAGATTTCTCTGTTTCCATTTCCCCCTCTCTGTCACTCTGCCTTTCAAATAACTTTTTAAAACAACTTTATTTTGGTGGAAGAAAATTTTGAAATCCATGCACATTTTTTCATAATGTACATTTTCTATAACTTTCTGAAGACTCCTCATATGCACAGACTTCAAACATTTTTGCACCAAAATAGGCTGATTTTTTTCTTTAAATAGATTTATTTATTTATTTGAAAGTCAAAGTTACAGAGAGAGGGAGTGATACAGAGAGAGATTTTCCACCCACTGGTTTTATCCCCAGATGACTACAATGGCCAGAGCTGGGCCAGGCTTCAGCCAGGAACCAGGAGCTACTTCTGGGTCTCCCACATCGGAACAGGAGCCCAAATACTTGGGCCATCTTCAACGGCTTTTCCCAGGAGCATTGGTGGGAGCTGGAGTAGAAGTGGAGCAGTTGGGACAGGAACTGGCACCCATTTGGGATGCCCGCATCAAAGGTGGCCGCCCAAAGCTGATCTCTTAATTCCATTTTCCCACGAACTTTTTGAAGTCCCTCAAACAGCTCAATAGCTGGAGTGTGGTTTGTAACCCCAGGGGTCATGTACCAGAAGCGTGGTCCTCAGTGTGGTGGTGCTGGGGTGGCACACTCTTGGTGGAAGGTAATTAGGTCCTCAGGGTGCTGCTTCAGAAGGGATCGATGCTGGCCTCGCTGCTAGAGGCTCCCTGGAGAGTTAAGACAGCTCCTGCCCGAACCCTCTCTGCACCTGCTTCCCGTCTCGCCATGTGCTCCCACCAGGATGTCATCTTCCACGAGGCTCTTCCCAGGGGCCAAACGGGGCCACCTGATTGTGGAACTCCAGCAAATTCCAAAACTGTGAGCTAAACACTCCTTTTTATTATACAGTGCCCGGCCTCAAGTACTGTGTTATAGCAACAGAAAACAGACTAATACAAATGGAGGAGAATTTACAATCCAGAAATAGCCCAGTCACCTCGGGTGCCAAGACGAACAGGAAAATAGCAGTGCTGGGACTGCTGGATTCCCACGTGCCAGGGAATGAGACTGGCCTCTTCCCTCACACGCTACACAAAAACTAACCCCAAAGGAATCCAAGAGCAGGAATGAGAGCTGAAACCACAGACTTCCTAGGGAGTACAGGAGGAAATCCAGGACCAGGACCAGAAGTGCAAGTGACAAGACACAAAAGTAGTAACTGAATTTCCCCAAAATTAAAATATTTTCTAAAGGACATCACAAAAGTGAAAATAGAACCCACAGAGTTAGAGAAAATATGTGCAGATCATCTGATAAAGGACCTGTGTCTTCTTAACAATAAAAAGATAAATGACCCAATTAAAAATGGGTAAAGGATCTGAACATTTTTCCAGAGATTTACAAATGACCAAGAAGCACATGAAGAGGTGCTCAACAGCTTAGCCTTCAGGGAATCCCCAACCCAAACCTCAGTACACTAGCAATGCACAACATGGGGACGGGCATAACCGAATAGACAATAACCAGGGTTGGTAGGAATGTGGATAAACTGGAAACCTCACACATTCCTGATGGGAATGCAGAGAACAGTCTGGCAGCTCCTCAAGCTGTGAAGAGTTATCATATCACCCAGCAATCCCAATTTCCAGGCACACATTCAAGAGAAAAACACACATCCCCAGAGCCGGTGCTGTGGCACAGCAGGTAAAGCTGTCACCTGCAGTGCCAGCATCCCATATGGGCGCCAGCTCGAGTCCCGGCTGATCTCCTTGCTAATGCACCAGGGAAAGCAACAGAAAGTGGTCCAAGGGCTTGGGCCCCTGCATTCATGTGGGAGACCCAGAAAAAGCCCCTGGCTCCTGGCATCAGACTGAACCAGTTCCAGCTGTTGTGGCCACTCGAGGAGTGAACCAGCAGATGGAAGATGTCTCTCTTTTCCCCTACCCCTCAGCCCTGTATCTCCCTCTCTGTGAACTCTGCCTTTCAAATAAATAAATTTTTTTTTTTTTTGACAGGTAGAGTTATAGACAGTGAGAGAGAGACACAGAGAAAGGTCTTCCTTCCATTGGTTCACTTCCCAAATGGCTGCTACGGCCGGCGCTACGTCAGCCTGAAGCCAGGAGCCAGATGCTTCTTCCGGGTCTCCCATGTGGGTGCAGGAGCCCAAGCGCTTGGGCCATCCTCCACTGCCTTCCCAGGCCTCAGCAGAGAGCTGGACTGGAAGAGAAGCAACCGGGACTAGAACCCGGCACCCATATGGGATGCTGGCGCCACAGGCGGATTAGCCAAGTGAGCCATGGCGCCAGCCCCTCAAATAAATAAATTAAAAAAAAAAAAAAAAAAAAAAAAAAAAAACATCTGGGGCCAGTGCTGTGGCATAGCGGGTAAAGCCGCTGCCTGCAGTGCCGGCATCCCATATGGGTGCTGGCTTGAGTCCAGGCTGCTCCACTTCTGATCCAGCTCTCTGCTGTGGCCTAGGAAAGCAGTAGAAGATGGCCCAAGTGTTTGGGCCCCTGCACCCACATGGGAGACCCTGAAAAACCTCCTGGCCACTGGCTTCAGATTGGCGCAGCTCCAGCTGTTGTAGCCAATTGGGGATTGAACCAGCGTATGGAAGACCTCTCTCTCTTTGCCTCTGTCTCTCCTTCTCTCTCTGTGTAACTCCTTCAAATAAATAAATAAATCTTTTTTTTTAAAGTCTGCACAAAAATATATACAAGGATGTTCAGAGCAGCATTATTCTTTTAATATTTATTTATTTGAAAGGCAGAGTTGGAGAGAGAGAGAGAGAGAGAGAGAGAGGTTCCATTGCTGGTTCACCCCCCAAATGGCAGCAATGGCTGGTGCTGCACAGATCCTAAGCCAGGAGCCAGGAGCTTCTTCCGGGTCTCCCACGCGGGTGCAGGGGCCCAAGCACTTGGGCCCTCCTCCACTGCTTTCCCAGGCCACAGCAGAGAGCTGGACTGGAAATTGAGCAGCCAGGACTCAAACTGGTGCCCATATAGGATGCTGGCACTGTAAGAGGCAGCTTTACCTGCTACGCCACAGTGCCAGCCCCAAGTAGCATTATTATTAATAGTCAAAAAGGAGAAATCACCCATAAACTCACCACCAAGTTACGTGTGGCTAAACAAGTTGAAGCATATTTATGCAGAATATTATCTGGCAATTAAAAGGAATGAAGAACTGATACGTGCTACCTCACGAAGGCCATATGAAAACATGTGCTCCTCATTCACTCTTTCAAACAAAATAAAAAATGTTTTAAAGATTTATTTATTTATTTGAGAGGCACAGTTAGAGAGAGAGGGAGAGACAGAAAGGTCTTCCATCTACTGACCCACCCTCCCAAATGGCCACAAAGGCTGGAGGTAGGCCAATGCAAATCCAGGAGCCAGGAGCTTCTTCCTGGTTTCCCACACAGGTGCAGGGGTCCAGACACCTGGGCCATCCTCCACTACCTTCTGTGCCATCAGCAGGGAGCTGGATCAGAAGAGCACCAGGACACGAACTGCCACTGCAGGTGGAGGCTCGACCCACTGCGCCATAGCACCAATCCTTGCAATAAAAACCTTTAAAAACAAAAACACCATTATGCCTACATATTGTGATTCCATGTCTACGGAACGTCTAGAATAGGCAAATCCACAGAGACAGAAAGGAGACAAGTGTTTATTTAGGGCTGGGCAACAACGTAGCAGGTTTTTGGGGTGATGAAAATGTTCTAAAATTATTTGTGGTGATGGTTGCCCAACATTGAGAAGGCATTTTACAAAACCATTTAAATGTATACTTTAGCTCGGGACCCTGCACCCATGTAGGAGACCCAGAAGACCTTGGCTCCTGGCTTTGGATTGGCACAGCTCCATCCAGCCGTTGCAGCCCACTGGGGAGTGAAGCAGCGGATGGAAGAGCTCTCTCTCTGCCTCTCCTTGTCTCTCTGTGAAACTCTTTCAGGTAAATAAATAAGTAAATCTAAAAAATCATATATTTGAAAAGTTACACATTAAAAAAAAGTATACTTTAAATAGGTGCATGGATGGTATGGAAACAGTATTCCAAAATGGCTGTGAAGATAACTGTACTACAACACGGCAAAAACACTGACACAGATCAGTACACAGAACAGCAGCGCAGGGCCGTCACCCGGGCATGTGTGTGACACAGTAGTATCACGGGAGGTCTTCCAGAGGAGGTGAGATTTGAATCTAAAAATAAAAGGCCTGCCTGGGGTTGGTGGGGGCCCTCAGGGGGGTATAGCAGGAGAAGCCCAGATCCCCATAGCTGGGATTCTAGACTGTGGGCGGTGTCACGGACCAGACCTGCCCATCAACATCAGTCTTAAATATCTGAATATTCAAACAGTTCCTGTGCATTTCCTGTGTGCTACATGCTACTCCAGAATACCGTGGTGATGGAGACAGACTAGGACAGCCTGTGTGAGGCTGACACTCCAGGAAAAGGGGGGAAAGTCTGTAACACGACTTCAGGGAGTAAGCAGATGGAGGGAAACGCAGCCAAGGAAAAACCAGAGTGAGGTGGCAGGAAAGGCTGTTTTAGAAAGGGCAGGTCAGGGCAGACCTCCTGGGCCAGGTTACAAATGGGTGGCATCTGAAAAAAGTGAGGGGCGAACCACTTGGTCACTGAAGGCAGGCCACTCGGGAGAGGGAGCAGCACTGTCAACAGCCCTGAGGCAGGTGTGAGCACAGTGTCAGCACAGAGCCAGGCCAGACCCCAGGTTGGCTCAGCACTGCAGGGCTGGGTCCAAGGTGGGCGCAGGCACGGGAGGGTTGCCAGCCAGGATGCTGTGGCCAGATTCATGCTTGAGAACGAGTGTCTGACTTCCCAAGATTAGACCAGCTGGGAGAAGCGGCGAGCTGGAAGCACAGAGAACAGCTAGGAGGGCCTGGTACCGTGGTGAAAGTGGCTGGGCCAGGGGACAGCTTGAACACAGATGTGACAGGGGGACAAGGTCACAGGAGCGAGTCAAGGATGAGCCCTAAGTTGGGACCAAGAGCGGAGTAGATGGCGGTGCCATTTACTCAAACAGGGGAGTGGGGGAAAATCAGTATGTGGCAGAAGAGAAGCTGTTTTGGCCACAGTGAGTCTGGGGCGCCCATGGGACATTTGGTGAAGATGACAGGTGGGCACCTGGGCAGCGCTCCGAAAGTCAGGGAGCAGCAAGCGTGGAAACTGTGTGGACAAGCTTAACTTAGAGGTCCCATTGGAAGTCCTTAGGTAAGACGTGACTGCCTGGGCTGTCAATGGGGCAATACTGCCCCCTAGGGGCTCTCTGGGAACTTCAGGCACGTTTTCGGCTAAGAGCAGGATGCTGCTGGCACGGCTGGGATAGGTTGGGTCCTCCAACATCCCACCTACTGGACAATTACTCTCAATCTTCCTGGACTTTCAAATGCCCTGACAAACATTCACACAAGGATGAGAAAACTCCATTATAATGATCTGAGCCTAGAACTGAACTCAGTTTTCCAAATAAATTCAATGGATTATTTTGTTACTCTGAATTGTTCCAGAAATAAACTGAGGGACCACTTAATTGCTTTAAGATTTTACTTATTTGAAAGAGTTACAGAGAGAGGTAGAGAAAAAGAGGTCTTCCATCCACTGTTCCAATCCTCAAATGGCTGCAATAGCTGGAGTTGAGCCAATCTGAAGCCAGGAGCCAGGAGCTTCTTCCGTGTCTCCCATGTGGTTGCAGGGGCCCAAGGACATGGGCCATCCTCTGCTGCTTTCCCAGGCACATTAGCAGGGAGCTGGGTAAGAAGTGGAGCAGCTGGGACTTGAACCAGTGCCTGTATGGGAGGCCAGCACTATAGGTCGGGGGTTTAACCCATTGCGCCACAGTGCTGGCCCCCATTTAATTGCTTTCTGTTCAGAATTTTACCAAGAGATTTTTTTTAAAAAGATTTATTTATTTATTTATTTGAAAGTCAGAGTTACACAGAGGGAGGGAGGGAGGGGGTCTTCTATCTGCTGGTTCACTCCCCAGTTGGCACCAATGGCCGGAGCTACACTGATCCAAAGCCAGGAGACAGGAGCTTCTTCCGGGTCTCCCATGTGGGTGCAGGGGTCCAAGGACATGGGCCATCTTCTGCTGCTTTCCCAGGCCATAGCAGAGAGCTGGATTGGAAGTGGAACAGCCAGGACTCGAACTGGTGCCCATATGGGATGCCAGCACTGGGGCCGGCAGCTTTACCCACTATGCCACAGCACTGGTCCCACCAAGAGATTTTTAGAAAATCATGTTGCTGTGATTCTGCCAACACCATATACCTATACCAGTGCGCATTACCAACTCTTGCTCTGAGCAGAAAGGTTTAAATATTTTAGACACTTAAATGCTTAAATAGCTTATATATGCAGTTGTGTCCAGACATTTAAATACAGGAATATGTTTTTCAATATTTCAAGGATACACACACACACACCCCGGTATACATATTGGTTGGGAAGCCTGCACCCCATATCAGAGAGCCTGGGTTCAAGTCTCAGCTCCTGCTCCTAGCTTCCTGCTGATGTGCACCCTGGCAGGTTTCTGAACTGACATGGGAGACCTAGATCGAGTTCCTAGCTCTTGGCTTCAACCCACAGCAATGTAGACATCTGGGGAGTAAACCAACAGATGGGAGTTCTCTCTTCAGCTCTCAAGTAAGTAATGTAGGATCTACTAGCTAGGACTTTTCATCTCAGCAGAGATTAGTATTAGATTAGTATTAGCCCTAAGAGGCGGGTACAGGGCTAAGGACCACTGAAGTAAATGGGGGAAATGGATATGGCAGACAGACCCAGGCTGAGCCCTGGGTCCTCTGATAATTTAGAGGCTGGGATTTGAACCCAGGAGTCAGGAGGGCAGAGGGCAAGCAGGGGAGCAGGGTGTTCTGTCGGCCACATGAACAGGTAGCAAGAACATGATGCAGCCTCCAACACTGCTGCAAGGTGAGAAAAAGGATGGGACTTGTGGCCAGCGCCGAGTAGGGGCTCAGCCTACAACTGTGGCGTTGGTATCCATATGGGTGCCAGTTCATGTCCCGTCTGCTCCTCTTCCAATCCAGCTCTATGCTGTGACCTGGGAAAGTACTGGAAGATGGCCCAAGTGCTTGGGCCCCTGCACCCATGTGGGAGACCCCAAGGAAGCTCCTGACTCCTGGGTTCAAATCAGCCCAGCTCTGCCCATTGCAGCCATTTGGGGAGTGAACTGGGGAATGGGAGACTTCTCTGTCTCTCCCTCTGTAACTCCATTTCTCAAAAAAGGGATGGGATTTGCCTCTGGCAAGCTGGACAATGCTGGCATCTGTGATGAGAGGGGAA